CTGCAGATATCAAAATCTGCAGACGCTCAAGTCCATTATATAAAATGGCAGAGTAGTTGCATGTAACCTGTGTATCTTACTCTGCACTTTAAATTATCATGAGATTACTTAAAATACCCAATATAAAGGCTCTGCAAATAGTTGTCATACTGTATGTTTAGGGACTAATGACAAGGAAAAAAGTGTGGACATGTTCAGTACAGATACATTTTTTTTCAGTACTGGGGTTTGAACTCAGGGCCTCATGCTTGCTAGGCAGGTGCTCTACCCCTTGAGCCACTCCCTCAGCCCTTTTTGCTTTGGTTATTTTGGAGATCAGGTCTCACTTTTTGCCCAGGATAGCCTAGACCATGATCTTCCTATTTTATACTTTCCCCTGTAGCTGGGATGATGGGCATGCACCACCACACCCAGCTTTTTTCTGTTGAGATGGGATCGCATCTCTTTTTGCCCTGGAACCATGATCCTTCTGATCTCAGCCTCCCAAGTGTCTAGGATTACAGGAATGAGCCACCAGTGCCTGGTTCAGTATGGATACAATTAAAATTTTTTTCTTCTCAATTTGTCTTAATCTGTAGATAGGGAACCTGTGGATGGAGGACTGACTCCACTTCTCCATGGTGGCTGTCACAATTTGTATCTAATACTGATGTGTGAGGTTTTTTTTTTTGCATGTATCTTTTCCTCTACACTCTGATCTCTTACCCAACACAAACTTGCTGAATACATGGCTAACTGGCTAAATGAATGAGTTCCAGAGAGTACTCATTCTAAAATTTCTCAGGGGGCAAATAGGTCAAACAGAGGTGTGACCCAGTATATTCTTGACAAAGAATAGGACTCCCATAGGAGTCCTAGTATTCATTAGTGTAGGAGACTTTGAGGTGAGTTCCAATTAGAAAATAAAACCAATGCTAAAGTGGGCTTAATTTTCTTAGCCTTATGTTTTCAAACTTATTTCACATTTTTCACCTATTGTGCAGAATGTACTTGAAAAGACGCTTCACTGGCAGCTTCCCACCTGGGAAGCCTGCAGTTCTCAAGATGGTCAGACTTGGCTTAGGGGTGGCCCATCCTACACCAAGCACCCTCACAGCTGTGCTGCTGTCCTGAACACATGTACACATCTTCACATATGTCACTACCAGGAAAGCCAGGGACATAGGCAAATTTTGGAGCTATCCTGGGTGATGTTTCCCAGTGAAAAGAAATGAAAAAATACTGGGAACTTGGTGTTTGTGGATATACCTTAGAACTGTGAGCAACTCTTACTGACTTGCCTTTCACTAAGACCTCGATCTGGGGAGCTGATACGCTCCTTAGCTGATGAGCAAGTCAACCTGTCACCCAGCATTGCACCTCAAGGTGGTTCTCTTGTTCTTGGTATCCGGCCGAACTCTCTTGAATTTTCCAGTACACTTAAGTAAATTTTGTGGGGGAAATCACATGCATTGTTAGGATTGGTGGACATTTTCAGATTTCTTGCACAACTAGGTACTATCTAGGTAGGATTCCTGAGCTGGGGCTGTATTGAAAGCAGTAGATCTCAGATTGTTTTTGATCCACCCCCTACTTAGGGAGGGTGAAACTATTTGACCTAACGACTCCATCTAGTTTCATTTTCCAGTGGAAAAATAAATTAGTGCTAATCTGGGAGGAGTGGATTTTGTATACATTGGTTCTAGCACTGGAGTAGGATGATTCATATGGGAACCACAATGTATACATGTCGTAGAGTCTAGTTATTGGAAAATTACAGCCTCAGAGTACTGTTGATGCAAATAAGCTTCAATATACTCTGCAGGGTTAACCAAGCAATCCACAACAACATAAACTGATAATGATGAAGCTAACAGTAATTCATAATTAAAAAGTCCCGATGGCAGCAGTTGAGAATTACAACTAACTCAAGGCACCACTGATGATGTGTTGATAAAGAAGCCTTCTTCCAGGCTTTGGAAATGTCGACTCTGCATAAGAAAGTGGAGCCTTTTACCACAGCAGACAAGCACTATGTGGTTGGCATTCGGACTTCTGAGCACAATCTTGTAAGGTACTCAGTACCATTTATAATGCCTTCTTAGTCGATTGCAAATTATTAGAGCTAGTAGCAAAAATGAAACTTAATCAAATCGCATAAGCTGGGTTGGGTGTGAAGCTGAATGGGAGGGTGAATGTTTAGCATGTGCAAGACCCTGGGTTTGATTCCTAGAACAAGAACAAAGAATCACATACTATTTACCAGAATGTTTGAAAAGAGGGTTTAAAAAAAATTTAAGAAAAAAATGCATGAAGATGCCCAAAGGCTGCCCAAGGCTCCCCACCCTGTACCCCTGTACCACACTGTGGACACAGTTTTTCCTCCTTTGGGGAGGTCTTTCCTTTTGGAGCTCAAACAGACTAGAGAAATTCATTTTTAAAATATGTAAAACAGTCTCCAAGGCTTAAGTGTTAGTTTAATATCCCATGTAAGACAGTCTCCAAGATTCAACAGCAAGTGGAAAAAGTAATGTGTATGGCACTACGTATAATGTGCTATTTACACATACATTTTCTATGTATGGTAGGCCTTTATCTGCTTGGAGAATCTCTAGAAGCATGCACAAGAAATGGCTCCAAACAGCTGCTTGCACAGAGGGCCGTGGCTGCTGGGGGAGGAGAGAGAGATGGAGACTTAGGACTTTCAGTAGACACCTATTCGTGCTTTTTGAATTTTGTACTAATCATGTATTAACTATTACAAATAACAATGAACTTAAACTTAGAAAAAAGGAGAAAAATCACTCAGTGATCTAACGGAGACTGGTTCCTTTTCTTTTCTATGTTGCAGTGCTGTGGATGAACCCAAGGGCCTCGAGCTCCTGAGTTTGCTAGGAGAGTGCTCTCCCAGCTAGGTTATACCCCCAACTCAAGACTTGATTCTTGTCTCAGTTTTTTCTCTCTCTCTCCCCTCTCCACTCTCTTCCCCTTCCTCCCTTCCAGGAGATAAAGTCTAAGTTTGATATACTTATTATTCTGATGCCCTTTCCTCCTTTAAAACATAGTCATGTCAAGTAGGAGGTCCCCGAATCTACAAGAAAACATCTCAGTGAGACGATGGGATTATAAAACCAGTCCCAAGCCTGAGATTCTGGGCTGAGGCAAGACCTTAGTTCTGAAACATGATTTTCTGATATATTAGACTTGTTATTTAAAACCTTTCCAAGTGTCCTGGTGTGTTTCATAGTGTAGATATGTAAAAACACAAAAAGGAGAACACTTACTTAATAAGGGCACTTGTTCACTTGCAGCTTAAATATCAGGGAAAAAAATGACAAAAAAGGAGACACAACTCATACAGCAGAGCAAGTTTAAATGAAGCATGCCTCTTATTTCATCCCACTTCAGGAGACCAAGCAAGTGTTTATCTTGATTCACTACCAGGAATTTAAAAGCAACAGGAACATTATACTGGTCAGTGTTTCCTAACAAAAATATGGTATTTCATTAATTGTGTAAAAAGGAATTGTTTTCTTGTACATAAATCCACACAAGACAGACATTGTCTTTCCATCTTAAATGCTCATTTTTCTAAGTAACGATTCTTCCTTAGGAGCAAAATATCCAAAGAAATCTGCAGGTATTTAAATGTTTGGGATTCTGAGTTGCTCCAGACAGACAGTACAGTAAGAAACGGGCTAGTGGGAGACCTAACTTTGGGTGGTACAGAAACAGGTCAGTGAACTCCTCAACAGAGATGGGTTTTGCACAATGTGCCTAATATAGTAACAAGGTAGTCCCATTTCTGGAGAATATGACACAGGGTCATGTCTATCTTGCATATTTACAAAAATTCTGGGTTTTTTTGTAGGTGGGGACTGGAGTTTGGACTTGGGGCTTAGAACTTGCTAGGCAGGCACTCTACCACTTGAGCCATAGCCCTAGCTTTTCTCTTGCTTTAGTAATTTTTCAGATAGGGTCCCATGTTTTTTGCCTGGGCTGGCCTTGACTGTGATCCTTTTACCTCCACTTCCTATGTAACGGGGATGACAGGTGTGCACCAGCACTCCCAGTTTGTTTGTAGAGATGAAGGTCTTGATAACTTTTGCCTGGGCTGGACTTGAACCATGATCCTCCTGGTCTCTGCCACCCAGATAGGTGGGACTGTAGGTGTGAGAACTGCGTCTGACATATTTATGAAAATTGTATAATGAAGATATGATACCAGCACAGGTGATTATCTCAAAGCCTTGGTCAATTTAAGGGCACAGTGTTAAGTACCACAAGCCACACCTCTCTGTGTCTGAGGGTATTTCCTATACGTTTGTTAAGTGCAAAAACTTTCCCCTGCATGGTGGTCTTGTTCCCTTAGGTCTTGCAACCCCACCCCTCTCCTAAGCCCCTTCTTTTTCTATAGGACTTAGCAGCATGCTGGCAGAAGTACAGCTCTACAACTCAAAGTTGGGTTCACATAGAAGAGATACAAGTAACCACAAGCCCTCGAGTCACCCACGCAAGGAAACTGCTCGGCTTTGGTCTAAATGACTTACATTTTTCCTCGCCTGAATTAGCCGGTAATTGCATGTGGGCAGACTTAGCCAGAATGGTCTAAATGATCAATTAGAACGCAAAAAGGAGTTCCTTTCTTTAAAGTTCAAGGGTCCCTGTTGAAGAGCCCTACTTCCCAAGTGATGCTCACATGGGCCTGCACCCAGCTCTCTGCTGTGCCTGAGTATATTGTACGTTTGCCTAGCGATAATGAAATTGAGTACTTATTTTGCAGGAAAATATAGGGCATTTCCATTACATGCAATCAAGCAAAAAGGCTGCAAAATGTGCCACTCCATTAATTCTAAACAGAATCCTTCCCAAATGTCACCCTGAAACCAGAGTATGGGGTTATTATAAATCTGAAGGAATTAAGAGTAATTTTCATTTACACAAAGGATTCTGAGGACATGACTCCTGCCATACACACACACACATACACACACACACACACACACACAATTAATTGCCAATTTCAGTGTGAATCACCAAGCCCTGACCTAGCCTGCCCCAGCAGCGAGATCAGTGCTTTCTGTCTTTGAGGCCACAGGTGTGCTTGGGCAATGTGTGCACATATACACTGTAGAATGCGCAAAGAGTAGTGGTGGAGTTGTGACTCAAGTGGTAAAGCACTTACCTAGGGTGTGCAAAGAATGGAGTGTAACTGACTTGTTATTAACAACCAGGTTGTTCAAAGAGGAAAAACAAGCTGGGTGTGGAGGTGTACACCTATAATCTCAGCATTTGGGAGGCTGAGGCAGGAGGATCCTGAGTATGAGGCCAGCTTTGGCTACACAGTGAGACCCTGTATTAAAAAAACAAAAAAAGTAAAACAAATACCAACTTCTGGCAAGTCATCCGATCTCTGAGACTCAGTTTCCTCATCTATAAAGGGGACATGTACTTCTGTGGAGTTGTGATGGTTAATGAACTTGAGTATGACAGAGCCCTGAGTGCAGTGCCTGGCATCATTGATACTCATCACTGGTAACTGTGATCTTTAGGTACATATTCTGGGGACTCTCTCGTTCTTTGAAGAGGGGAACCTGAACCTGCACCTGGATAGGACACTTTTCCCAGGTTACCTCAGGGCCTGGGAGATGTGGGTCAGCCCACTGAATTACTGGTATTTCCTTTCTGATGTTAATTCCCACTATGTCTGGGCTGATGCTGGGCTTGTGGGAGAGCACAGAGTAGGAGATAGGGACAAGCAGGGCAAGGAGGTCCGGAGGCTGTTCAGTTTGCCTTCAGTGAGAGCAGCTGGGCTGCAGGGGTTCCAGCCCTCACTCCACATTTCGATACTTGGTAAAGAGGTTGTACAGCACTCGCAGCGTGGACTTCAGGTCACAGTTGACAATATCTGCAGAGAAAATGAAATACCAGCTACCTCAGTGGGCTACCTGCTCTGAGTTAGCTTCATTGTCTCTTTCCACCACTCATCCCCATGGGGCCCAGTATGGCTTGGGTTTGGCTCATGCCACCAGGCTCAGGTGGGCATGGAAGATGGATTGGGTGTACAGTGAGAAAAATTTAGTGTATGTGGGTGGTGAGGGGGATGGGCTGGGCACCAGGCTATCACCTGTGAAATAAGGCAGGCCCCAGTGTATGCACGCTCCACCATGGAAACAGCATCTCTAGGTGAGGGGGATGCTGGCCTTTGCCTGATCCTCCAGGGCCTTCCTCCCTTTGCCTTTGCCTTCACTACAGTGCCAACTGTGTGTGTAAGAAAGGGATGCCTGGGCTGCAGCAGGGCTCAGGTGCAGAGTTAGGCCCAGCAGCATATCTCTCACAAGAGGCCCCTAAAAGGACCAGGACCCCAACAGGCATGGGCCTTCCATGGAGGACTCAGGAAGTCAGCTTCACATTAAGGAGAGAGCAGGGCAGATGGCTATGGCACTGAGGGTAGTGGGAGTTGAAATGTATTTTCAGGTGAGTTCCAGAAAGTTCTTGAATCTCCAGACAACCACTTCTCTCCTTGTTTTCGTAAAGCAAGAAGAGTTTGCAGGTTAAGAAGTGGGCAGGGGCCCTTGTGGATAGTTGGCTGGGGACTGAATCCTGAAATGTTTGGAATTTCCCATTGTGGAGCTCAGATGATTTTGTAGGCTAGAGGCTGGAACATGGCAGCAGCCAGGCTGCTCCTGATACCTTTTGCACACCCCTCTCTCCCTTCTTGCTTCCATCCACCCATCTGTCCATCCATCTATCCATATACCCATCCACCCAACTACCAGCCCATCCATCCATCCACCCATTTGCCCATCCATCGATCAACCCATCTATCCACTCAACCCATCCACCCACCCATCCATCCATCCATCCATCCACCCACCCACCCATTTGCCCATCCATCCATCAACCTATCTACCCACCTATCCACCCATCCATCTATCCACCCATCCATCTATCCACCTATCCATCCATCCATCCATTTACTGGTCACCACCTTCTCTGGCAGCTCCTCTAAGCTCTACCAGCTATCTAACTTTCTCCTTCCCTGTACAAGGCCTCTCTCGGCTCTCATTTCCTTAGTAAGCCATTCTTTAAAGAATTAGAGTGAACAAATAAAAAAAGAGGAACTCTGTGTACTATTTAGGAATGCACACTTAGGTAGTAAAATTATAAGGAAAAGCAGAACAAGAAAACTCCAAACCCTGATGACTATGAAGGTCAGGACAGTGGTCACTTTTAGGGAGGGGAGAGGATTATGTTCAGAAAGGGCTCAGGCATTACTCTTGTCCTCCACCTAGGTGGTGGTGGCCTGGTGGCTCATCTGATATTTCACTAATCTGTGCATGTGGTGTTTTCACAATAAAATGGTACTTAAAAGTATAATTGTGCAGGAGGTCAGATGAAGTAAGTGATCTAAGACAAGATAACAGCTCATCTGGGATTCAAAGGTAGAAGAGGTAGCATTGAACCACTGGGAAAGAAGGCAGGGCTCTGGCCATGCCCTAGTCCCAGGAGCAAGGTTCCTTCAAGACCAGGCAGACTGGGTGGTCAGGGGCTCTGGCAGGCTAGATGGTGGTTCCCTAGCCTTGGCCTTGGCTCTCTCGGGGCTATGACTGCTACAGCCAGAGGCCCTGAGGCCTAAAGATGAACACTGATGGAGCTGAAAGCCGAGGGTCCAGGCTGGGAACCTCCTTAGGCTTCCCCCACCTCGATCCCATCCTGGTGCCAGACAAATCTGCTCTGTCCCAGCTGGGCCCAGGCTCATTCTAAGCTCTTCACAGAGCACAGACTCACAGGATCTCCTGAGAGGCCTGGAGCTCGCAGTTTTCTTTCCTGTTCCCATGTGGGTGTGTCCATATTTTGGAGTCTCCCTCCTGGGCCCTGGCTGGTGGCTGAGCCCTGCCATCTTACCCTGTTTATGCCAAGCCAAGAGTCTCACCCTGAATCACCTTCTGCCAGGGGCAGCACTGCCCTCTGGCCTGATTCCTGCTTCGTGTCAAGTGTTACTCATGGGGGGAATTGCTAGAAAGGCAGAGGGGGGCAGTGGTGAACTTGCCAAGGGAATGAGTGTGAAAGAGAAGGCAGAGTGACTCTGGGACCACTGTAGCAGGCTCCTAACTGGGCTCCTCTTACCCTTTCCAATCCATTCTATCTACTAGAGCCAGACCACTAGGCGTCCAGGTACAGTTGTGCAGGATGTGTACTGCATAACTCTATTATCATGGACTCTAACATAAACGGTACCCCTTGGAGCTCACAGCCATTTCACTTAAGATAAGGCCCTAAATCCTAAATTATGGCTTTACCTGGTGTAACCTGACCAGCTGACCTTTCCAGTCTCGTTTCATGCCACATGCATCCCTATTCACACTTTCTTCACTGTGTCCCCACGCTGCTCAAGCTTCTGCCCTATGGTTGCCACATCTAGATTCTTCTTCCCACGGACTTAGCTCACAGCACCACCTCCCTAGGGAGTCTTCCACACATGGGCCTGGATGCTGACACCCTGTTTATGTCCTCAGAGCCCCACGCTCTGCCTGTGTAGAATCGGTTGCTGTTCTGCCTGTATTGTAATGTGTGTGCCTATTTGGTTAGTGTCTGTATCTGCCTTGGACCTAAGTCCCTTGAGCAAAGAGTCCATTTTGTTTGCTGGATAGCCTAGTAGCTGGCATGTACAGACCCTCCCAGGTACTCATAGATACATGAATGAATGGCTGCACAGAGTCCTGGGGGCCAAGGAAGAAACTTCTAGAAGGATGGAGTGGACAACAGGGTCACCTGCTTCCAAGATGGTGACGAGGTAAAGGACTGGAAAGAGTTCCCAGAGAATGTAGCCTCAGCAGGTGGGTGTGGGGACAGCAAAGCCATGAACAGTGGAGCAGCGTTGAGAACAGAATGGGCAGAAAAGAGGTGAGAGCACGGGGCACAGGTTGCAAAGGGGGAGTTAGGGCTGAGGAATGACAGATAGAGATGCCCTTTCTAAAGACAGGTGAGTTCTGCGGTTGCTAAAGATGATGCTTAATATGGGGGAACATCTCAAATTGACCATTGTATTTAATTTTAATGTCCACTAAGGTTTGAAGCCACTACAATAACCGCATTACTCTGGTAGCCACTTAGCTTCTCTGAGTCAATTTTCTCTCTGGTAAAATTGGGCGATACCCCCTGCCTATTTTGTTTATTTATTTATTTTTGATAGATTCTTGCTATATAACCCAGGCTGGTCTTGAACTCTAAGATTTTCCTGCCTCAGTCAACTGCTGAGATTACCAGCAGGGCCCCATCATGCCTGGTGGGTAAAACCTTTATTAAAAAAAAATACCTGAACTATACTACTTTAAATAGTAGTTTCCTTCCACTTCCCCATTTTTTTTGCTCATTAACAGAGTTTTTATGAACAGCTATGCAGTATGTACACTGCAGGGGTACTCCAGGGGTCACCATTCACATAGACTAAGCCCCACTTTGGGAAGTCTGAGTTGGTTTTTCACCAGCACCACTGCTACCATGGTCAAGAGACACTGCTTATCATTTGTGCTTATCAAGAAAGCCAACTGGTTGGCCACCCAGATAGTCCCAGGCAGATTAGCAGACCATGGAGAGACTAAGCTATCTCAGGAGAGGGCTGTGGGTTTCCGGGAATGTACTGTGACTCCATCCTACATAAACAGAGCCTACTTAAAACCCTAGCCTAATAAATAGTGCGATTAGCAGTTGCTAATCAGCACTGCTGATTGCCTCTGTGTGCTGGCCCAGGACCCCTCTCTGGGAGCAGACAGGACTATGGAACTCCAGGCTAGAGCCCACCAGCAGAGGCTGTCTCCCTGGCTGGGAGACACAAATAAGACCTAAAGCCATGCTAGGAGAAATAGCTGGATTGGTGACTCTTACTCTATCTAATAACCACCCAAGTTTAGGGTATCATGGGTACATTCTCCTTTTTAAATTAAAAAAAATTTATTGACACATAACGACTGTACATATCTACGGGGTACAATGTAATGTTTCCATTCACGTATTACTGTGTAATGGTCAAATCAAGGTAATTAGTAAATCACCTGAAATGTTGATATGAAAACATCCATCACATTTCTTTGTGATGAAAACATTCAGAATCCTCTTCTAGTTATTTAGAGATACACAATACATATTGTTGACTATATTCACCCTACTGTGCAACAGAACATCAGAAATTATTCCTCCTCTGACTGTGGCTTTGTACTTGATGACCAGCCTCCCCCTCTCCTCCCACTACTCTTCTTAGCTTCTGGTAACCACTGTCCTATTCTCAATTTCTACGAGATCAACTTTTTTGGATTCCACATGAGTGAGATCATGTGGTGTTTGTCTTTCTGTGTCTGGCTTATTTCACTTAATATAATGTCTTCTAGGTCTACCCATGTTGTCACAAATAATAGGATTTCATCCTTTTTATGGCTAACTAGTATTCCGCAGTATATACGTGCCACATTTTCTTTATCTAGTTATCCACTATTGGATACAAATGTTGCTTTCATTTCTTGGCTATTGTGAATAGTGAAGTGAGCACAGGAGTGCAGGTATCTTTTCAGCATACTGATTTCAGCTCCTATGGTATATACCTAGCAGTGGGATTGCTGGATCTCATAGTAGTTCTATTTTTAATTAATTTTTTGAGAACCTCCATACTTTTTTCCACAGTGGCTGTACCGATTTACATCTTCATCATCAATGCATAAGGATTCTATGACAGGTGTCTCTTGGCATTTTCGTCAGGCATATCTGTGAATTGTGGGGTCAAGGGTTGCACTAACCTATTACCACTGTAACAAATGATCACAAATTTGGTGGCCTAGAGCAATACAAACTTATTATTTCACAGCTCTAGAGGTCCAAAATCAGTTTCTCTGAGATAAAATCAAGGTGCCAGCTAGGTACATTCCTTCTGTGGTTTTAGTGCAGAATCCTTGATTTTTGGCTTCTACATGCTGCCGGCATTCTTCAGCTCATAGCCCTCTTCCGTCTTTGAAGACAGAGATGGCTGGGTGAGCCTTTCTCGTAGTACATCACAAGGACACTCTTGACTCCCTGTGTCCTGATAAGGACCCTTGTGATTACACTGGGACTACTTAGCTTATCTAGGATAATCTCAAGATTGTAAATTTAACATCTGCAAAGTTCCTTTTGCCATGTAAGGTTTCAAAGAGCCCATGCCAATTTCCACCCAGATCCTGTTGCTCCACATCTATGCTACCTTACTGAAGTTCTTTGCCACTGTTGGCTGTGTACCCAGTGACATGGAGAAGGGGGCTGGGCAGTGTCCACCTTACCAGATGTGGACTAAGTCCTCTCCCAGGTAAACTGAGTCCCTGGCTCTAAACTGCCATCACTTGCTGGCTCTCTAGCTTTGCTTACTGAATCTGGTCCCAGCTATCACACACCTTCCACTGTAGCTATTCCTCATCCTGCTGGCTATCCTGCTGGCTACCATACAGGTTTCAATCCTGGCCCATTTCTTCTGAGACCCCACCTTTGATCCTGAGTTTACTTGAACGGTGAGAATGGGGAGGTATGTGCATTTGAAAATGTGTATCCCAAAACAAAAAACCACCAGACTCATGCCAGTATTTCAACTGCTCCCCTAGCTGTGAACTTCATACTCATCCTTGACTGACACCAGAGGACTGAAAGGTCATGAAGCCTGAGCAGCAGGGGTCATCTGAGATGCAGATTCCAAGGGATTTTGAGGTCAGCCGGGCTCTGAGGTCAGGCAGCCCAGCTGAGAATGAATTTTCCTGACCTTAAGAACATTTTGCTATGAAAAATGACTCCACCATAGCCACTGTCATTCAGAGGCACTCTTAAAAGAGTCACCCATAAAGTCTGCCGCATTCTCTATGAAACCACACAGAAACAAGAGCAAGTGCTGGTGTGCACTATTCACAAAGTGACTCTCACAAAGCACCATTTCAGTTCTCCTTTACGCACTGGAAATTTTCAGCATGGGCACGGTGCCCAGTGCAACAACAAACAACACAGATGTGATTTTCCACTCACATCTCGGGAAGTTTCATATTAAGCAGTTCAATAATTGCACAAGAAATGTCATCTACATACTGAAATGTTCTTATACATGGACTGACTTTGGGAGAATATCTGTCCTGAGGGAAACAAATGCCCGAACACCCAAACATCAGAGGAGTATTTCAATCCGTAAGCAGGAGGTTCCATATGAAGCAGTTCAAAAGCACCGCAGCAGGAAGGAGGGCCAAAATGTCCTGCTGCCTCTCCTATCCAGAAGCAGGGGCTCACTCTCTGCCCATGGGACACAGAGTCCATTCCTAATGCATTAGGATGGCGAGAAATGCCTCCCCAGAGCCCCAAGGGGATGCCAGCCATGCTGGAGGTCCTCCCTTCGAGGGGACTGAGGAATTGGTGGGAATGAATGGGAATAATGAGTTGAGCGTTGTCAGCTAGTGCTGTGTTACTGAGTTCTGCAGTGAGTCATGAGCCAGGGTGTCCATTCCCTAGATAGGACTTTGACTCACTCCTGCATCCTAATGTCCAAATACCAAGGCCCTCCCGGTTTAGCCTGATTGTCATTTCCATCCCACTGTTCCTCACTGTACCCAGACAGAAGAGGCACCTCCTCTGTCTGGATCCATAGCCTCTTAGTTGTAGCCCTTCCTTGGCCTTTATCATGACTATCATTCTACTTGGGTGACTTTCCACCTCCCTGCTTGGCAGCAGGATACTTGAGGGCAGGCATAATCTTGGTACGTCATGACCTTGAGGGTCTAAGGTTGACTAGACCAGTCCGCAGCCCACTGTGTGGAGGTTTGGATGGAAGAGCTGGGAGCAGAGGCAGCAATGGGCTGTCAAAGCACACAACCTCTGCTTGTCCCCTTGCCTTCAAGTGCAAGCTTGAGGGCCTACAACCTGCCTTCTCAGCGTTCCAGTTTGACACAGATAGACATTATCTGTAACACAATGCTGACTCACGAGCGCTGGTGAAATGGAATATCGCACTCAGAAAGTGGCAGAAAACAAATGCCTGGACCAAGAAGACGACTGAGAGAAATGTCCCTCCTACTCACAGACGTACATGTGTGCCCACGTGTGAGCACGATGGCTGCCAGGGTGTTTTGTTCCTTTTGTATTTTCCACCAGTCTTATTCAGTTAGCCCTCTGCATCTGTGGGTTCCACATCCATGCATTCCACATCCGTGGATTCAACCAACTGTGGCTTGAAAAAATTCAAACCCCAACTACACTTATACCGAACACCTATGGATTTTCTTCTGTCACTATCCCCTCAACCGTACAGCTCAACACGGTCACATGGTGTTTACACTGTAGTAGGTATTGTTAAGTAATCAAGAGGTGATTTAAAGTGTAAATCAGAGTTGTAAGTAAGAGGTGATTTAAAGTGCCCAATGTGCATAGGCTATGTGCACAGTAAGCCTGCCTTATTTGCAGATTCATTCCATGCAGTTTTGACCATGTCCAGTCAAAATTAATTAAATAAAACAATCAAAAGAAATTACAAAAATAAAAAAAAATTTTTAAGTTTCCCCCATATGCATTGTGCAGCTCAGGAGATGAGGTCTGCTGAATGTTTCCCTGCACTTAATGTGGTGAAAATCTGCCTCCCTCAAAACAAAATGGTACCAAAAGCAAGGTAAAAGTTAATGTGCTTAATTTATACAATGCAGTGAAAATTTTAGACTTATTGAAAGGTGGCAAGTCTTTAGCAGAAACTGGTGGAGTTATGGGAAAAATGAATCAAGCATCCACAGTACAGCACTGAACTCTACGTCTCCCGAGCACCTGTGGTTTTCTTCACTGATGGTGTCCTTGCAATCACAGACTCGTGGATACTCGTATTATTCTGTGGGGAACTTAAACATCCTTGATTTTATTATCTGCATGTCTGGGTGTGTGTGCAGTTATCTTGGAACCAATCTTTCATGGATACTGAGGGACTGTATTTACAACCCAACCCCCCCAAACTGAGGTCTCACGGTTGTTCCAGACTGGGAAAGGGTAAAGTACCTTCTGGCCGTGGTTTTGGCTTTTCCAACCCTCCATCTTGCATGAGCTCAAAGGCAAAGGAGACGTTCAAGACCTGGCAAAAGAGAGGCAATGTGTGTGTCATGCACACTCCTAGACCCTGGGAACCTGGGAGCTGCCCCTGGGCAGTGCGGTAGCCCAGCATTGTAGCCAGCAGGGCAGAGGCTGGGCTCATCTGAGGGAGAAGCCTGCACGGCAGTGGCCAGGTCATAGAGAGGGTGGGCTTGCAGACCCCAGCCTGCTACTAGAGCTGTGCTCATCCTGTCCCACTGTGTTCTGTGTCAACTGCCAGGATGTCAAAATTGGGGATATCCGTGCACATATTTGGAAGATGGTTAGACATGTTTAAGAGGCAAAGCAGAGTCTCTATTTTGGGCCAAATGCCTCTGTCTAGTGAGTAGGATGTGACGGCCTACAAGGCGCTATCAGAACCAGGCTAGCCACGGGCCTCAGGGCTGACTGACCCTGCAGCCACCTTCCCTGTCACCTGTGGGGAGAGATGAGGCTGGCTGTGCACCAACAGTAGCATATGGCTAGGGGGCAGGGCCAGACTGTAGAGGAAGGGAGGGCAGGGTCCGCAGGTAGCTCCTTCTCAGCTCAGCTTCCCATTAGAGCGGGTCCCTGCTTCCAGCCACTGCAGACCCAGCAGAGGGGCAACTTAGCCATGTACCTGACCAGCCCCAGAGTAGGTGATGTGGGCTATGGGCTTCCCCCAGTACCCCTTCCCTTACCTTCTGTTCAAAGCTGTCTGGGGTCAGGAAGAAACTATGCAGGGGTACAAAGTAGCCTTCCAGGAGCCCCATGAGCAGCACCAGGTACACCCCATCTGCAAACTGTGGGGAGAGAGCCAGGTGACCTTACTGTCCCCAAACCTCCCAGCCAAGCCCCATCGGCCCCATGCTTCCCATTCAAAAGCCGCCTCCCAGGCAGACTACTGGTGGGACCAAGGGCCAGTGGTCTGAGTCAGGGAGCTCTGCTCTCTAGCAGGCCTGTTCTGTGTCTGGTTGGCCTGACACAGGAGCCACAGGTTCATAGCCTAATGTAAGCTGATCCAACATTTACAGGGCAGTGACTGTGCATCAACTCCTGATCCGAGTATGGGGATCAGGGTTGGGCAAGTGTGGCTCCTGCCCAGGAGGAGCTCAGGGCCCCATGGGAAGAAGGACATGGAGGCACTGTGGCAGCTGCTCTATGAGACTAAGGTCACCCTGCCTAGTGGAGGCATTAGAGGAGTCTTCGGTGTATGTGTGTGTGGGGGGGGTGGTGGGGAGAAGGGAAAGGTGATGTCAAGGGGAACAGCATGAGGCTAGCAGGGAGACTTGGATTTTTTTTTTTGGGGGGGGGGAACAGGATCTCACTATGTAGCCCAAACTGGCTTCAAACTCATGATCCTTCTGTTTAGTATCCTCAGTACTAAAATCACAAGCATGCGCCACCACTCCTGTGACTTTTGCTTTTGAACATAGAATGGTGGTGTCATATAGGCCTGGCATTCTCCTTTCTCACATGTCCCTTCATCATTGCCCAACAGTGCAGCTGTTATAAATGTGGGCTCTGGAGCCAGACCTCCTGGGTTCCAGTTTCAGTCCTACTGCTTACTAGCTATGGGACCTGCACCTTTCCACACCTCATTTTTCTCATCTGCAAAATGGGTTGATAGTCTCTACTCTCTGGGGGACTAAACCCTGCTGGGCATGTAAGCAGCACTTAACAAATAAACAATAAACTATTACTGTCCTAGAAAACAAAACAATCAGCACTTGACTTCCTAGCTCTTGCTGGCCAAGCAGAACTGTGCTGAGGGCCAAGGCAAGAGGCTTGGAGCTTGGTCCTTTCTTAGACAGAAGAGCTGAGGGGTTTGGTCCAGAGAACAAGAGGCTCCTGGGTTAAGTGCAGAGAGAGGAAACACAATGAGTGTCCTGGGCAATCAGGGCAGGTAGTAGGGTTTGGGGGTGAAAGCACATTGGTAGGGATTGGTGTCCAGGTGTGGAGGTGGCCTGAGCCATAGACATAGCAGCTGGTTGGATGCATGTCTGATATTCTAGAACCTTCCAGAGGAGGCTAGGCCACCATGTTTGTGGGTGCAAACAGTAGTTGCTGGCATTCACAAGAGACCAGGCTTCTTGGAATCACCCTAGGTAGATGAGAAGAATTAGGCTGAGGTGCTGGAGTGAGTCCTGGGACCACAGTGTATGCTCACTGAACTTTGCAGGTCACCGGCTAGGGCCTATGCCTCAGCCTTCACTGAGGGTATGAGACCCTGGGCATGGCCTGACCTGCAGCTCCTCTAGGGTCTGACCACCTAGGGGCACAACTTGTCCTACACCACCCATGTGGCTGAAGAAGAACAGATAGCAGAATATTTGTGGAACTCACTGTTCTGACAGAAGCCAACTGGGTCTCATCCTGGTTGTGGCTGAGATAGGTTGAGAACAAAAGAAATCCAATCTGTGAGCCCAGGAGGGACCCTGGGTTAGGGTTAGAGTGACTCACAGCTCTGAGGGCCAGACAGACTGCTCCCTACCTGCCACAGCTAGTTCTGCCAACTGGGTGGGAGTCAGGTGAAACCCGCGGACAGAGAGCATAGTGCCTGGCGGTGCTCCCTGGTGTGGCATACTTCCTGAAGATGAGGTGGGATGGGGGGAAGGAGGGGGAAACTCCAGAGCCCATCTTAGCCCCTCAGGGAGACATCACTTTCCAGAGTGTTCCTTATTTCCCCAGCAGGTACACAAAACTCACTCCAGAGTCCAGACCTAAATGGGGAGAACTCAGCCAAGATGCGGTAGCAGGCTGTACAGCTAAAGGAGGTGCCTGTGCACTCAGAAGAAAGCCACATTGCAACTTCACCCAGAAGGAGAGGATGTGGGGAGTCAGGAAGCATTGCATTACAGATTATTTATTAAGTGTAAAAGGCAGAGAAGAACTCTACAGTGGTTTCAGCCAGGAAGTCCACCAGAGGCCACCATTACGACAATCCCAATCACTACCATGTGGGTGGGGCTAAGTACCACCTCTTGAGAGGCACACAGTGTCCCCTATGGAGTAAAGAGACTGAAAATGCACCATCTGAGCCCTACCAGGGCATTCTATAAGTCAATTGTCTGGCACTCTTTAAAACTTTGCCACTGTCCTGCCAAGAAGGGCAGAGCTGTTGTTCTCCATGGAGAAATTCTATCCAGTTTATCTCTCTGGGTAGAATATACAGTCCATTCCCCACCCCCTCAGACTGGAAAACTGCGAGTCCATGGGAAAGTCCTCCTAGCCACGTAGGTGGGGCAGATGGATCAGCACCTGTCTGGCAGGGTCCCGTCCAACCTGTGCTAGGCTGTCACCCACCTGGGTTTCCAGTTCTGTGACCTCCAGGTTCAGTTTATTCAGGTGCTTGTTCACGAAAGTGATGAGTGTCTAAAAGAGACGCATAGGACACTGAGACTCCCAGACTCCCCCATGAGAACGGGCAGCCCATGCAAAGGCCCCAGGAGATACAGGGAAGTACTGACAAGCAGGATGATGGGTGGGGCATCTGAGCCTGGAGGCAGCAGGGTGGACTGGGAATTAAGAATGGGTCACAATTATATCCTATGTTTTCTCTTCAACAAAATCGCAGAATAAGAGGGCAGAACAGGTTCTTCCTGGAAGCAGAAGGGAGGAAGTGGGGGCGGAAGGAGGAGGGGGGTTGGTGGCCCAAACAATGTATACACATGTAAGTAAATGTAAAAATGATAAAAGGAAAAAAAAAAAGAATTTGATTTTGACAAAAAAAAAAAAGAAGGGGTCAAGAGACAAAGTGACCCTCCTGGGTCCCTCCTGTTAGTCTCTACTTTGGGGCAGCTGCCAGGGCCCAGGGAGACGGGGAATTCCATGTGAGAAGCGGGGAACGCTTGGGATCAGTGTGGGTGGGAAGACATGATGGCATCCCGAGGGGAGGAGCCTGGATGAGGCACCAGTGATGGAGACACCGACTGCAGAATAGGTTTTCCTAATGTTCTGCATCACCCCACCCCCCCTGGCTCCCTCCAGCACCTTTTTCACTACATTGAGTTTGTCTGGAGCATGGTCGAACAAGGTATCAAAGGCATCACGTTCTGAAAGAGAGGGAAATGAAACATGGAGTGCAGACAGCACGTTCCTGGTGGTGAAGGGCAGCCCATCCCAGGTTCCAGACTACAGGCTTTCCAGGCCCTCTGGCCAGCTCCCATCAAGATGCTTTGGGATACAGGCTGTGCTGGGAAACCTGGAGTATGGGATGGGACTGAGCTGGGGCTGGTTGTATGTGGCCACCCTGGTTATTCACATCAGCCACTGGGTGGACCTGAGTGTGGAGAGTGTGTTTGTGTGTGTGTGTGTGGGGGCTCTGCCAGGCAGCTTGACTCAGGCTTGATTCTTCTTTCCCACTATTTCTGTTTCACTCTATTGTGGTACAGTCATTGTTGAGTGTTTCTGAAGCTCTCTGGAGGTAGAATGTTGCCCAAATAGCAAATTATTTCAGCCCCCTATTTTCAAAAACTGGATACCTAAGATAAACAGCTCTAGAGCCTAGTGTCTTCTATAGAGAACATGGGCGTCTCCTCCTGAGGGATCTAGGCCCTGTGAGCCCTTTGTGCCTCACTTTACCCTTCTATAAAATATCATCTGAAAGATGAGCCTCCTCCCCCAGGTTTGTCCTGTGGATGAAGGGTTGAGGATGTGTGTGTCTATGCTCTTTCAACTCCTTTGTGCCTTACTGATGCACACTGCTTTTAGCAAGATGGAAATATTTCTGAGTAAATATCAGGATAACTGAACATATCCAAGTTACACTCCCCAGAGGGATTTATGTTGCTACAGCTGCCAGGTTCTCAGAACCAGGAGGTGAGATGGTGGAGGGGATCTAAGACAGGGATGGGGACAGGCTCCAAGATCAACCTGGGGCTGGAGGGTTTGTGACTTGAGGCCTACCTTTTCCACTGTGCATCAATGGGAAAGCTGAGACTGCTGGGAAGGGGACCTCTGACCCTCTTGGACTTTATAAACAAGTTGAAAATTCTGGGAAATGGGAGTTCAGGGATGAGGAAAGAGGGAGTAGGGGAGAGGCTGCTCCCCTAGTGCACTCATACACTTCTCCCTCTACTTCCACAACATGCACAGGACAGCACTGCCCTGCAGGGGTTAGCCCTGTGCAGACTGGAGGGTGTCCTTGCCACCACTGCTGTCCCTCCCTACACAGTCAGTTGTGTTCCCAGGCTGGGGCAGACACATCCTGGCAGCAGGCTAAGAGCAACTAGCATCCATGCCACTCACCATGCCTTCCGGACAGAGCCCTGCAGGAAAAGAAGAAAGATAGCAGTGTGAGAGCCTAGGCCTGTGGACAGGAGCCAACCCCTCCCTCCCCCCACTAGCCTGGCCTTAGTCAAGGAGCTCAAAGTCTCCTTCCACTGATTGACAGTGGATCCTGTGCTGTCTCTGATGACGGAGACTTTATTCGGCCCTCAGTTCTCCTTTCCTACACAGATTATTGTTGTTAATGCAAAGTCTGGTAGAGTGATGCTTAAAGGACTCATTTTTGTCTTAAATAAATCACATTATGGCTTGCAGTTAAGAAAGAGTACTGGACTTGGGATGAAGATTTGAAGAAGAGCATCTTAGGATTCTTGGGTCCCCCACCATCACAACTGATGGGGTGTTTCACTGCCCAGGTTACTCTGGGCAACTGCCCAGGAGGCCGCTTTGCTTCTTTCCTATCCACCCTGTGATGTCCCCATTATAGAATGTCTGCCAGTGACCCAGGATAGGTTTTCTCAGAGAAGGGGTAGGACCCAGGACCACACTTGTAGCAGAGAAGCAGCAAGGTCTTAAGATCCTAAGCATTATAGAGAAATATCACTTAGGTTTAAATTCTCCTGAGCCATTTGTCTTCTGTGTGAGCTCAAGCTACTGAACCTCTGGCTTCCAGGTCTCATCTCTAAAATGAGGCTTAAGTTAAATACCTCAGTGGACGTTGTGAGCATTTAATATCTAGGAAGATTTTAGCATAATTACTAGTATATAGTAAATGCTGAAAACTATTTCTCGGTACTTTTTGGTTCTTATGATTCTTACGATATTTGTTTATCTACTTGTATGCCTATCACCTGCTAAATGACCACTTGCACCTGGTGTCCTGGAAGACTAATGAACTCAGAGTAACTCTTAGATAGACTAACACAGTCTCCACCGCCCTTGGGCTGTGGGGGGCGTAATCATTGCTCCCTGTGCTTATTATGAACACCTGTAGGTATGAAAGTGCTTCAAAAATGTACTGGGTTCTCACTGGGAACTGCACCTACGGTTTATGTCTTTGTGGTAGAGATGGCACAGAGGGAGTGAGGGACCATAGAAAGCACAGCATACAGCTGGAAGATTGTTTTGGAATCTGCTTCCTCATACTCCCTGGCTCAGGTGTTTCTCCCTGGCCATGCTGCTCTCTGGTCAATCTTCCTCTTGTCCACAATGCAAAAACCATAGACACAGAGCAGTCAGCACGGGTGGGAGGTAAAGACAGGACCGTGAGGCCTGACCAGGGCAGCTTTGCCTTCCACCACTCAGTGCCAAGGCGTAATGTGCCCTGCAGATCATGTCACCCTTTGGCTACTAAGGCTGGCCCTGGGAGTGATATGGAGATTGTGTAACAGTCTCCACAGACCATAAACCTGGCACCTTGATAAGGGCATCTCTGCATCTCTGCCCTTTCCCTTGGCATGAAACATACCCTGCCATAGGCACTGTAAGGTCCAGACAAGCAGCGTCCCAAACCCTGTTGACCTCAGCTGGGAAGTGGGAAGCAACTTCCTAGAGATAGGACAGTCCTGGAGGTTGTGGGTCTACTGGTACTAGAAGGAGAAGAAGGATGGCCATATAGGGCAGGGGAAGGAAGGCACAGTTTCCCCTCTGCAGGCCTCTGGGTTAGGAAAGGGCCCTCCCGCTCAGAGATGAGGAGACTGAGCTCAGAGAAGTTCAGGCAGTCAAGGCTTAGAGGCCCCTGTTCTTTCTACTGCAATACTCTTACTCAAGGGGAACAGAGAGAAAAGTTGGGGGCACAGGAAAGGCTGAATACTAACTTTACCTGGCTTTGTGTGGGTCCAGGTCTCAGAACCTACCCAATGATCCCAAACTCCCTACACTCCAAACAGCTCTTTCTCCTTAAGAAAAAAATTCCAGTTCCCATGGCAAACATTTTAAATGTCCCAATCTTCTAATTTCTAAAAGTAAGCGGAAGAAACAAACAAAAAACAGCACAAACTAAAAGACAACTCTAAGGCAGAGAGGGGCTTTCTGGGTCATGGCTCGTGACCAAATAAATTAGATTCAGAAAAGGAAGGAAAACGTCCTTTTGAAGGTTAACAATTTAAATTCAACCTCATGTTTATGGCATGATGATTTCATGCTGGTTGGCTTTTTTGGGCATACTTTTTCCTGGAGTGCCACAAAATTAGAATTTTTCAATCACTGCTAATTCCCCTCTCCCCACTTCCCCACCCAAGTTTGTACCTTGAACATCAAGAGGCATGTTTTGAATGCATGGAAAAGGCTAAACTAGCATCACTGGCTGCAGTCTAATCCCTCCTGCAATCCCAATAAATGAAAACTAAATATCAGCAAATGGATGAATTTCGGAGAAACATCTGTGTTCCATTACAGACTCGCTGGCAACAATGGTGTTGACATACTCTGTGTTACCAGTTATTTCCTCTTGGATTTGCCGAGACTGGAGGATTCCTTCTCGTTTCTGAAATGGGGGCGGGGGGTGTTGGGAGGAGAAGAGAAAAATATGCTTTAGAAAAATACAGAAGAACTGATTAGCATTCCTGAAATTGAAAAAGTTACTGGTGTTTAAGAAATGTTCCCAGAGATGGAGATAATGCTAGAAGGGAAGAGGCCCTGAGTTTTGGGGACTGGAGCATACCATTAGGACATAAGTGCAATTAGTGCTTGGTCCAAACAAGTAGGCTGTTTCTTGGATGGCAAAGCTTTTCTTTCTTTATTGGAAGACGTTCTGCTGGAAGCAAACCATTTGCCTTCTGGAGTAATCCACAGTAAAACAAATGGAAATGAAGGCCGGGGTGTGTCTGTCCTCCAGCTGGGGCCACAGAGGGAGGTCGAGAAACACATTTAACTGGGGTTTGGATGGAGAACAGGCCAACTTAGAAAATTCAGGAAGAGGGTTTTTTGTTTATTTGTTTTATTTTTTTAACTGATAAATATGGGAGCTTTTGAGTAAGCAGTATGAACCTTGCTTAGGTATCTGGCTTGCTCTGAGAAAAGGTTGAACACTTTGGAGCCTTCCCAAGCCAGCCAGCCATGTGTCCATCACCTGTCACCCCTCTCGCAGCAATTTCTCCTCTTTCTTCTCCATCTCATTAAGCAGTGCCTTCTCTGTACAAGGACCTGTACTAGAGTTAGAACAGATACCATGGAGAATGTGTCCTGACTTCAGGCCTTGAGGAATTTACAGTAAGGCAGATGAGGAAGTAGGCATGGGAGAAGGGTTCCCCTGAATGCTCTGGTTTGTGCCTGATATCCTAGCTCAATATGGCATCCTTTCATTCTTGGTGCTGTGGCCAATGAAGATACAGCTGCTTAGTGCAGGGAGGAAGTGCTGGGTGTAGGACAGGAGCATAGCCTCGCAGGTGGACTGTCAGGGAAGACTTTCAAGGGTAGGGGGTCCTGGGGCAGGAAGTTTAGAAGAGAGTTAGGAGGTGGGTGGACACCAGAGAGGTCATTTCATAGTGGAGGAGAGGAGGAATGGTCCTAGCCCAAAGGCAGAGTCTGAACAGCATAAATGTGTACAGGCAGCCCTTTGCTGGGAGGGTGGCTGCCATTAATCATTGGGCATTCCTGAGTGCTTTAGAAAGTTATGCCCCCGTGTGGGCCTGGGGCCAATGAAGAAGCATTAGTGTTCCAGGAGACATTCTGACGGGCACCAGGAGGCCGATTCACTCTACCAGGTCCTTACTTGGTCAGCACTAGACACTTGGGTCAGCATGTGATCGACAGAGCAAATTTATTTCCCAAGGCTGAGGTATTAAGAGGGTGCCTGTTGAGCTCAGTAACTCAGTTGAAAGAGGCCTTCTGGGCAAACTTCTAGAACGGTCCCTCACATTCCCAACAGCCACAGATATCAGTGTCCTTGCAAACCCCTTTTACAGAAGGAAAGGCAGAGCTGGATAAAGCCGAGTCTCTCTAGATTAGATGAAGAATAGACTATCAAGGTTACTTAAAAAAAAAAAAGGTTTCAAGAAAGGGAAAAAAAGATATTTAAAGGGAATCAGGTAAAGATAAATCACGACTTTATCCTAATTCATGCCAAATTTTCACAGGAGCTAGTGGGATCCTTGTCTTGTAAGGCCATTCCCAGACATTAAACCTCATCTTCAAGTTCATACAGAATTAAATGCTTTCATATAGGACAGAAAAGAAATCTAGGTTACAAAGCCCCTTACCAGGGACCCCGACTCACTTGTATCCTTATTTATCCCCAGAGAGTTCTCTAGAGTTTAGCCAATTCACTTGATAAAGCAAAACACCCCATAAAACCTGACATGCACTGATACCACTTAGTGTAATGCGTCCTCTCTTCCCATGTCCTCATGCTAACAAAATGGCCTTCAGGAGAAATTAAACCAACAACAGCCTTCTGATGGCCTCTAATTGAGCTCAAACTAAGGCCTGACATGTGGGATTGCTGTGACCAGTTTCAAAATAGGAGCCTCTTCTTTCCTGCTCAGATCTGCAATTATAATTTTTTCTTGTCTGTAGTAATTCCAACAAGCATATTTTGTTATTTCTGTAGATAGCTATTTACTCAAGCTGGTAATAAAAATACTAAGATCTTCAATAAATTAATGGACAAAGAATCAGAATGGACTGTCACAAAGGAGAAGATACAAGAAGTCAGGTTGCATAAAGTATTTTTCTCCACCAGTAACGGAAGAGCTATGCATGAATATAATAACAGTATGTTTACTCAGTTTTTAAAAAAAAATTTCACACCTGTAATCCCAGCTACTTCAGAGTCTGAGATGAGGAGGATCAAGGTTCGAGGCCAGTGTTGGCAAAAGTTAGTGAGACCCCCATCTCAATCAATAAGCCTGTCATCCCAGCTATGTGGGAGGATGGAGGTCTGAGGCCAAACCCCAGCAAAACCGTGAGACCCTATCCAAAAAATAACTAAAGTGAAAAAGGGCTGGGGGCATGGCTAGAGCAATTAAGTGCTCTAGCAAGTGAGAGGCCTGGAGTTCACACCTCAGTACTGCCAAAAAGAAAGTCAATTTTAGTGATATCTAGTCTTCAAAGTTCTTCCATGAACTGCTCCAAGAATCACAATTTTTTAAATAACTATTTTTTTAAATAGTAGTTCTAGGTTTTCAATAAAATTAAAGAGGAAGGTTCAGAGATTTCCAATGCCCCCTTATGTACTAGAGACACCTTGCCACACCTGCAGTGACCAATAGCTGTCCTTCAAAGGCTACCATTTACGTTAGGGTTCCCTGTGCCTTCTACAGCTCTGAACAAATATATCCCACTATACTACTGTACAGAATAGTTTCACTACCCCCCAAATCTTCTGTGCCTCACCTACTCATCCTTCCCGCCTCAGTGACAGTTTTTAAAGGTATAAGGAGGTGATCTCACACATTATTGGCTGCTCAGAATAAGACAATGAAGATGGCCTGGGTTCACACCAAGATGCTTGTCACAGAATGCTGTGGGCTGCCTACATATCTACAGCACACAAAAAACACCCAGCACCATGCCTGATGCAGGTGAGGACCTCAATAAATGAGGACAATGAGTGCCTGTCAGTCAGTTGCACTTTGAGTCTCAGCCTCACTCTTCGCACCATCTGCTGATAGCTCTCTGTTCCTATCTGGAGTCTGGTCTCCTGGCAGGCAGGGCCAAGGTGTCATATTCTTATTCTACCTTCCTGATGCTTCAGCGTTAAGTACCCAGAAGGAGTGGGAGAAATCCTTTCTCATTAGGACCTGACTGATCAGGTGGTTAGGAGCACAGAGCCCTCTCCTCCTGTTAACATCTGATCCTCCTGTTAACATCAGCTTCAAAGCCCTTTTGTCCTGGAAACTGGCCTGGCCCGATGGGGCAAAGTTTACCCGTCCTCATGCCTTCCCTCACCCAGGGATGACAGAGCTGCCATCTCCTTCTCTATTCCAGAACGCTGCATGGCCCTGGATATCCAGGGAGCTGCTTGTATGGGGAGCGTGCCCTCATCACCTGTTTATTTGGAAAAGAACAGAAACAAGCAAACAGAATGATGACCTTTTGCTAAATGGGCATAAACTTAGAAAATAAAATTGCATTTGAGTATTTAATGGGGTTAGGAACAGAGTGAGATAGTCACGGGGAGAGAGCACACCCTCATTGTGGAAATTACACAGCCATATGTGAATGGAAATTCCATCCAACAATCTGGAAAAGATGACTTGAGACCCCAGCTGTGTTCACTGGGCGGGGGAGAAGCAGCAGTGCTTCCAGTCCAGGCACTGGTAGTAAGGGTCTCTCACTCATACTCGTGTATACACTCCATCCCCTGCACACACAGCAGCACCCCCCAGGACTCATGTATCATTTAATTAGTCAAAAAGCAACGATTCTCCACGACTTGCCAGGCAACCTGCACAGTTCTGTACACAAATGCATGTACATGTGTACACACACACACATATATTTCCTTCTGACCCCACTACACACACCTCACAAACAGACACAGCCCACACCTCACCAAAGCTATACAGTAGATCCTTGGTTTTCACAGGTCTATGGTTCCAAGGAGACAGTGATTGAGGACAAACCACACATGCTCAGGACAGAGTTCACTACTGTACTGCTTGATTCGTTTTCCCATAGCACCACCCAACTTCTGCTAAAGCCATGCTACCTTTCAACAAATCTCGTGTTCATTTTATCACTTAAATTAAGCACACTTACTTTTGTCTGGCTTTGGGGGCACCATTTCCTTTCTGAGGGGTAGATTTTCATAAAAGTAAGGCAGGGAACACTCAACAGATCACAAACAATTCAAACACAATTGATGATAACGCAGGACTGACCGAGAGCTTCAGTGTACCAGCTGAGCTGTGTAACGTGCATGGCAATTTAAAATTTTAGTTTTTCTAAAAAGCTTCTGTTCATCAAAAGAAATGGTCTCTAAACTGAAGAGAACACCCACAGAGTGGGAGAAAATATTTGCCAACTATACATCAGACAAAGGACTGATAACCAGAATATACAGGGAACTTAAAAAACTAAATTCTCCCAAAACTAATGAACCAATAAAGAAATGGGCAGGTGAACTAAACAGAACTTTCTCAAAAGAAGAAATTCAAATGGCCAGAAAACACATGAAAAAATGCTCACCATCTCTAGCAATAAAGGAAATGCAAATTAAAACCACACTAAGATTCCACCTCACCCCTGTTAGAATAGCCATCATCAGCAACACCACCAACAACAGGTGTTGGCGAGGATGCGGGGAAAAAGGGAACCCTCTTACACTGTTGGTGGGAATGTAGACTAGTACAACCACTCTGGAAAAAAATTTGGAGGCTACTTAAAAAGCTGGACATCGATCTACTATTTGATCCAGCAATACCACTCTTGGGGATATACCCAAAAGACTGTTACTCCAGAGGCACCTGCACACCCATGTTTATTGCGGCACTATTCACAATAGCCAAGTTATGGAAACAGCCAAGATGCCCCAGCACTGACGAATGGATTAAGAAAATGTGGTATCTATACACAATGGAATTTTATGCAGCCATGAAGAAGAACGAAATGTTATCATTCGCTGGTAAATGGATGGAATTGGAGAACATCATTCTGAGTGAGGTTAGCCTGGCCCAAAAGACCAAAAATCGTATGTTCTCCCTCATATGTGGACATTAGATCAAGGGCAAACACAACAATGGGATTGGACTTTGAGCACATGATAAAAGCGAGAGCACACAAGGGAGGGGTGAGGATAGGTAAGACACCTAAAAAACTAGCTAGCATTTGTTGCCCTTAATGCAGAGAAACTAAAGCAGATACCTTAAAGCAACTGAGGCCAATAGGAAAAGGAGACCAGGAACTAGAGAAAAGGTTAGATCAAAAAGAATTAACCTAGAAGGTAACACCCACGCACAGGAAATCAATGTGAGTCAATGCCCTGTATAGCTATCCTTATCTCAACCAGCAAAACCCCTTGTTCCTTCCTATTATTGCTTATACTCTCTCTACAACAAAATTAGAGATAAGGGCAAAATAGTTTCTGCTGGGTATTGAGGGGGGGGGAGCGGGAGGGGGTGGAGTGGGTGGTAAGGGAGGGGGTGGGGGCAGGGGGGAGAAATAAACCAAGCCTTGTATGCACATATGAATAATAAAAGAAAAATGAAAAAAAAAAAAAAACATGCAACAAAAAAAATAAAATAAAAAAAAAATAAAATTTTAGTTTTTGATATTCTTTTGATTTTTAATTGTTTTTTACCACACTTGGTCAAATCACAGGTAACAAACATGTGAATAAGGTAGGCTTGCTCTTCTGTACACAAACACACACTCTCCCATCCTTTGTATACTTACAAGCACAAGACAATGTGCATCAAGGGTCTCTCTCACATGCCTCCCACTGTATGACCCACTCAAGGATACTCAGTATTCCTCTGGCTGTCCTTCTAACAGTCTACCCAGCATGTCTTAACTGTCAAAGGACCTTGGCTTCCACAGCTCTTCAAAGGTCTATGTTGTGGTGTTTGTCTTACCTGGACCACAACCACTTGGATGGAAACATGGTCTGGGAGTCGGATTGGTGCACGGAAATACTGAGACAGAGCAACCAACAGGTGCAAGATGGCCACCAGGCTCTTGGCGTGAACAGCTGAAATGGAAGAAGATTTAAAAATTAGATAGCCAATTGTGGTGGCTCATGCCTATAATCTCAGCTACTTGGGAGGCAAAGATCCAAAGGACTGTGGTTCAAAGCCAGCCAGGGCAAAAAGTTAGCGAGTTCCCTCCCCCCGCAATCTCAACAAATAAGCCAAGTATGGTGGTGCGTGCCTGTCATCCCAACTATGTAGGAGGCATAAGTGTGAGGATGGAGGTCCAAGGCTGGCCTTGGGCAAAAACATGAGACCCCCACCTGAAAAACAACTAAAGAAAAAAGGGCTGGGGGCAGGGTGGTAAGGCATGTTCAGAGTTCTCAATCTAACCTTAGTAATGCAAATGAAAAAATTAGAGCATCTCCACTCAGGTTCTAGGTAATATAAGTAAACATTCAATATACAGCAGCCCCCCCCCCACCTAATGCCCCCTTGTCCTGCTCTAAAGGTCAGGGGACAATCTCGGTCACCACACATCTCACCCTGGGCCCCCTAAATTCTTGGCCTGGTCCCCTGGAGTGCTTTCTTGGATCCTATTGTTGCTGGATTTCTAATGTGGCCACCTGTACCCTAACCTCAGGTTCTCATCAAGACCTGGTCAACTGCGGAGTCCTCAGCTCTGATGGGCTCTTCCCAGTCCCATGTCCTGTTCACTCCATTCAGATAACCATGGGCACGTTTGCCTTGCAGCCTCCCCCTTCCCACCAGACTGTGAACTGTGGGTCATCATCACTAACCCTGCCCAACACTGGACACCAAGTGGATCCTTAACAAATGGATACTGAGTTAGATACCCTGGGTCCCTCCTCTGTTCAGGGCTCAGCTCCCTGAAGGGAAGGCCAAGAGCCATCCAGTGGGCTTTGGTGCTCCTCATATGGTCAGTGTAGGCCTCATATGGTCTCCCTCATATGGTCAGTGTAGGCCATGGCCCTAGGGAACAGTTTGGAGGGGATGGTCATGACCCAAATGGCTGCCATAGCTGCTGAGTCACTTGCTGAATGTTAAGGCAGTTACACCAGAAAGTTGTAGTTTTCTCAGAAGATGATGGAGAAAAGACTAATAAGGCTCACCCAGAGTGGGGGCGACTGGAGCGTGTATTCTGACTTCATAATACTACCTTACTTACTGGCTCCATGACATTGTTAGGGAAGCCCACTCCAGGCCTCTGAGACTTAATTTGCTCATCTTTACAAATGTACGTGACAGTACCTACGTACACGCACAGGTTGGATGGAAGATAATGAAGGTAGAGCTCTTGGAACATTGTAGGCGCCCAGGAATAAGTTATTATTATAACTTATGTGAAAGTACCTGGCACTTAGGCAATGAAAACATGTCAGCTTCTCCCCCTTCCTTTCTCATAAAAGGGAAGATTTGCCAGGTACTTTACCTGCTGTCACAGCCCTACCAGCGTCATGGCTCCTCACTGCAGGGGACATTTAAGGGAAGAAATCAGAAGGCCCTTTGTGTCCTGAGTGGGCACTGGACCCATTATTAGGTATCATTCTGTCTTCTCTGGATTGATGACTCTGCTTTAGCAGAAGCTTTGAGAAATCACCAGAAAAGGAAATGATTCATAGTTTTCAAAAGACACACACACACACACACACACACACACACACACAGAGTGTGGGCAGGCGGAGATGTTACTATTCTCTATCACCATCACCATCAGAAACACAGCCCCAGGAAACCTTATGTACTATAGCATAAGCTTACACCAGTGCTCTCCAAAATTTTCTCTTTTTTATTAAGCAGAGAAACCCTGTGTTCTAAAAGCTGATAGGCAGAACTCATGAGAAAAAGAACGTGACCACGAGTGTCCTTGTCCTAACTGTAGCCCACCCATAGCTGCTGGTCCTCTCCTGTGACACCTGAGTTTCTCCTTGCAATTCCAAGGCTGGACCAAGCGTGGTTTGATGATCACTACTTCCCAAAGTTATGATGGAGCACATAATGGCAGAGGTCCTTTCTGAAGTTATGGGATAGTCACATAATGGCATAGTTTCTATGCACTGAAAATCATGGGTAAGACGATGTAGCTATAAATATTAAAAATGTAATGTTAAATGTAAATTCAATAGGAACAGGTAAGAATATAAATTTATGAACATATGCATTCATAAATGTATGAATTTATTATTCACAAATATAAATATACATGCACGCACACACAAATGCACGATGGCTCACACTTGGAAAGGAACATAAAAATGGAAATAGTTATGTGGAGTGGAACGATATGTCATCTTTTCAATTAAAAATAATTGTAACAACTGTTGTGTGTTTGGGCATCCTCGTCGTTACTGCCTCTGCATCTCCTGGGAGTTTTTTCCTCATGGTCCCCTGCATTGTAAGGTTGTCTTGTGCCTCACTTGGGTCAGGATAGAAATGTGCAGAATACGAGCAGGGGCCATGGTTTCACTGTGTAAACTGGGAACCACTGTGCCAAGAATATCATTCTATGGCTGGAAGAGAGCTTTAAAAGGAGCTGCTGAGTTAGAAACAGTCCTCCCAATATGTCCTAAGGTAGAAATGCAAATTGGTGTCATTTTTCTGGAGACAATTTGATAATATGTATTATTACCTTAAAAATGTACATATGCTGTGACCCTAAAGTACCACCCCTAAGTATTCATCCTAAGAGAAAAGCTATAGTTCTGAGTGCAGGGAGCTCATCAGGCTGTATTGATATTAGTAAGAAAACATGAAAAATCGGAAAATCTTATCATTAAATTATGATCCATCCATATAGTCATATTACATAATATTAAAGAGACATATAGAATATGTAATAATTTATAAAGATATATATCTTCCAAACAATGCATATAGGCTGATCAAATTTTTGTAAAAACACACACACACACACTTTTCCCTCATTTGTGGTTTTGCTTTCTGTGGTTTCAATTACCCATAGTCAATGACTGTCCAAAAAATATTAATAGAAAATGAGAGAAATAAACGATTTGTTAATTTTACATTGTGTACCATTCTGAGTTGTTTAACAAAAATCTTGTGCTGTGTCACTCCATCCTGCTCCAGATGTGAGTCATCCCTCTTCCCAGAGTATCCACCCTGTCTATGCTGTTTGCCTGTTAGTCCCTTGACAGCCATCCCAATGATGAGAGCGGCTGTGTCAGTGTCTAAGAACAGCAACGCTGGCGGTTCAGACACACTGAAGAGAAGGTGCAAAGCGCTTCCTTTAAATGAAAAGGTAAAAGTTCTCAACTCAGACAAAAAAAAGAAACTGTCTAATGAGCTTGCTGCGATCTATGGTGAGAATGAATGGTCTATCCATGAAACTGTGAAAAACGATAAAGAAATCTGCGCTAGTTTTGCGGTTGTATCTCAAACTGCTGAATTGTTATACAGTGTATGATAAGTGCTTAGTTAAGACAGGAAAGGTATTAAGTTTGTGAAGGTATAGGAAAAGATAATATATATATAAGGCATGGATGGTTCCAGGGGCTCACTGGGGGTCCTGCAACACAACCCCCTTTAAGGGAGGAGTACTAGGTATATATGCTCACATACATAATACATACGTATATTATTCATCATACACACAGACATACTACTTGAAGGAACAAACTGTTTACAAAGCCTGTCCCTGGGTGGGCAGCTGATAGAAGGTGTGTGTGGAGAGTACACAGGCTCTGCATTGGACATGTGAGTTGATTCCTGGCTGTGTTTTTTTATCACCTGTATGACTTGGACAGTGATGCTCCTTGAGCAAATGTTATTTTTCTTAGTATGTGCCAGTCACTCTTTCTGGTTCCAGGGATACAGCAGAATCCCAGCCCTTAGGATATTCACAGTGTCTTAACCTCTCTTCGTCTTGATTTTCCCATCTGTAAAATGGGATAATGAAATTTTTTACCTCAGATAGTTAAGTGATTAAAACATGTAAAGTGTTTAGAGGAGAATGAAGCAGATATAAGTATTAGAATATAAGCTGGGTGCTAATAATTAAATGTCTTTTAATTTATCTGCATTTTCTAAATTTTCTATAATAAAAATTACTGCTGTGAACAGAAAAAAAAAATGCCCTAAAGCCCTAGATTAAGAACCTTGGTAATTCAGCAGCCTGCAATCCTTGTCCTGAGCACAAAGATGACACAGTGTCCCCAGATATATAGCCAGGGCTGATAAGTGAGAAAGGAGGGATGGAACTCTTTCCTCAGAGCTGTGCCTGCCACGTTCCTGGTGGAACAAACCACTGCCTATTATAAATAAGCCCAGCTCTTCTGGAGGCATTGCAGGGTACATCTCAGGAGATAATTATCTCCTCTGACCCAGTAATTCACCTCAGTACTATGTAGGGGGAATAATTCAGCAGGAGTAAACAGAGCCATAAGCCATGTCATTCAACTAACTGGGTGCTATCTGACATTAGCAATGGGTGGGCTCCATACGGGATAGTCACTCCATGAAACAGAAGTAGCTATCAAAACCAGTAACTTACAAGGGCCACAAGAACACACAGAAAACACATATGATTAAATATGAAGAGAAAATAACAAAGCACAATGGCGCATAGCCTTAACCAAGTAAGAATATGCATTGATGTGACCAGTAATGGGTAAAAACATGAAAATACTCTTCCCCATAAGAAGTTAAAACAAGTATGACCCAAATCACTCAGAACCACCAGAGACCATGGCCTTGATGTGGTTTTAAAAAATTCTGCTCTTCTATCTCAGCCTTTCCCAAATTGGGGGCCATAAATTGAAAAGGTATCTTTTTGGTTGCAAGGGGACAGGGAAGGTCTGTACCCAAGGGAGTGGGAAATAGGATTAAAAACAACAACAAAACTAAGCAGGGGTCTTCCTTCAAGTTCATCAAATGCTGACCAACTCCCCTTCCATCTCCCCACTGAACCCCACTTGCATTCCTGGGACACAGGGAAATACAGCCGCTCTGAGGATAGCTTCTGGGGTTCAGAGCCCCGGCCTCCCCTCCTCCTCCCTCAGGTGTCTCCCTCAGCTTAGCAGAGAATGCTCTGTTCCCAGCGCTGTGACAGCAAAGGTATAATTATGCTGAAGGAGATACTTGGCGTCCAAGCTCGTGTCAGATGTTAGAACCATGAAGAAGAGATTGCCACTGGCAGCTACTTGAGAGGCCAAGATTCCCTTCTTTCTCAAGTTTGAACACATTTATTTCTTCTTCTTCTTTTTTTTTTAGCGGGGGGAGCATTCATTCTAATTTATGTGAGGCTTTTTTCCCATTAGTGGTACTGGGGTTTGAAGCAAGGCTTCATGCTTGCTAAGCAGGTGCTCTACCACTTGAGGCATGCCTCCAATCTAATTTATGTAAGTTAGATGCAATGAAGTATAATACCTAGTCTCTAATACTTAAAAGTAAAACAGTCTAATTTAATTTGTATAAATTTTTTTTGTAAAACTTGTATTTTTATTTCTTACAAAGAGCAAAATAACTTTGGACTCCCTAACAGGGAGTATGTTGTCATGCCTACATACACCTGACTCACTGAATTAATGCTGATTCTGATATGAACTCATTAAGTCTCTATTACACATCAGGCAGGCTCCTGAGGCAGCAAAAGAATGAATGGTTTGTGCTTCCTGAGATCCTTGAGCTATGCCAGCTGTGAAAAGCTGAACTTAAAAATCCTTTCTAGTGTTCATGATCTCAGTCTTATCTTTGGTCCTTCTGGAAAATAAAGGGGAAGAGACAGGGTGTGGGCTTTGGACACACAGAGCAGCATTCTTGCTCCCTACTTCCTACCATGTGGACCTTGGCTTCCCAAAGCCCACCCTCCTTCCCCACCACCAACACACACACACTAGAGACAGCAGCTTTCTACAGGGCTGTGCTGGTCTCACAGTGGCTCTGGGAGGATGAGTTTCCTTTCCCTCTTGACGTCATGCAAGGTTTCTATAGAAAACCTTCTACACAAAAGGGACACTGGGTTTTGATGCTGAGTTTTACCCTCAAGGGTATATATGACAAGTTCTCTTTCTAAGGAAGGGTGCATCTCACTCAAAGATAAATGGGTTTGTACCCAGGGCCTGCTGGCTCTGGGATGGCTTCTTGAGGAAGCAACATGGTAGGAACCACAGTGTCATTTAACAGCGCCATATTCTTTTGTATAACTCACAGTCCACATTCCACTTGATGCTCCTGGGAGGAAGTTTCAGAGTTTCGTTATCTTCTCCAGGACAGTCTGCAGTTTTTGCTTCTGAGCAATCTCTGATTGGGTGACCTCAGCAACATTTAGCTTCTCGCTCTCAAGTTTCTCTAGGGTGACAAGGGGGAAAGAGAGCAGCTGTTATCTTAGGCCATAGACAACCTTAACTCATGTATTTACTCCTTCATTGGCTCATGATACAGTCACTCACTCAATCATCAAATATATACAGTTGTCCCTCAGTATCTGTGGAGGACTGGTTCCAGGATCCCCCTACAGATACCAAAATCTATGGATGTTGGTTTCCTCTATAAAATGGTAGTATTTGCATGTAATCTTTGCACATCTTCCTGTACACATTAATCACCTCTACATTACTTATAATACCTAACACAATGTAAATGCTGTTTTATGTTGTTCTACTACATTGTTTAGGGAATAATGACAAGGAAAAAAAAATCCGCACATTTAGTACTGACAATGTTTTTCTGAATCTTGATCTATAGTACGATGAATCTGCAGATGTGGAGCCCTAGGATACAGAGCTGACTGTTGAGCACCTGCTAGGGGAGGGATACTTCTTGTCTACTGGCAGCACCTGTACTGAAAAAGCTTCTGATGGTGTTGTAAACAGATGGGACTACAGAAGTGTGGCATTTAACCTGTCATATTTGGGTGCTTTCCCTTCATTCTGGGTTTTTCCTCTTTTTCATCCTGCCTTCTCCAAGGACACTTCTGTGTCCCATCTGGACAGCCTTCTCAGTGTCTCCCTAGAAGAGTCAATCAGGCATTTTTTAAGGCACTCTGTCCATTTCTGCATGTCATGCCCAAACCATGTTTATCTAATGTAAGCACTGCTTTCCTTTTAAACTCACCTTGAAGGCAACTTATTTAATACAGCATATTTCATCAGTTCTAAGGCACCTATTTTTCACATTTTAACATCCCTAAAAACAGGTGGTATCTTAAAATCCATGGCATCCTACAGTGGGAGCCAGCAGGTGGAAGATATAAGAGTTATTACTGCCTCTACCAGCATGAACTTGGCCATAGCTCCTCACAGGTTGAGCACTTCTATGTCTCAATAAGCTTGCGAGAACACCTTCAGAGGTATAAAATAAAAATCCTAAGCAAGAAGCAAGTATTGGGAATAGCTCAGTGGAAGAGATTTTTCTTCTTCTGAGTGGTACTCCTATGTGCTTTAAAACATTAATGGTTCTCCTATGCAGTGCCATAAAACACAGTCTGATCATTTCATGAATCTAAATTTGTATTTTACTCTATTACAAAGAACAAAACAACTGTGGACTCCTCAGCGGGAAATATGCTTCTGGTGTCACCTGATCCACCCCAAAACTCATGCAGGACTGATAGAACTGATACTCTGAAATGTGTCTAAAATTTCTTCTCTTCATTCTCAAGCCACACAAACTTTACATCAGTGTCTCCCCTAGTGCTCACATTATTTATTTTAGGTAACTGTAGCTTACACAAGTCAAATGCCCCTTGGGTAATTCTTTGAAGACAAGGTTACCCACTGGAGAATTTCTGCAGGTTCTGTGGATTTATGAATCCTTGGTAGGATAATCTCAGACAAGTCTCATCTGTGATGCTCTGAAATACATCTCTCTCTCTCTTTAGTTTATCAAGCCATCCATCTTCACTTCTGGAGTTCAGGGATTTAACAAGCATAGATCTAAATGTTTTCCTCTTGCATGGTAAACCCTGGACAGAACCTGTGTGCCCTTTCCATTGTTAGACTGAATTCTTATCTTGGATCCTCTCCTACTGAAGAAATCATAAGTTTGTTTTCTTCCCCCTCCCCCATTACTTTTGGATGATGTAATTGTCTCTATGAAGCAAGCTGTTTTCATTGTGAGCTGCAACTACAAACATTGAGTAGAGGCTGCCCAAAATGCTACACTGAGAAACTTCTGAAGTCTTATCTCGGCCAGGAGGAAAGACTGCTAGGATGGATTATTGATAGCTGTCTTGGGAATGGCTGGGTAGGGAGGAAGGAGAGGAGTGGCACGAGAGACACTTATTTGCTGGCCTTGCTGTATTACATCACTGTCTATGAATTTTCATCTTTATAATCTGCTGTCATTGGACCTCAGTGAATAGCTTAGCTTTCAGAGTCTGTTTTCTAGGTCAACAACTTTTTCTTGCACTGTTAACCATTTTATTCTTGTCTTTTTTTTAATTGATAAATAAGAAATATTATTTGATATACCCAGCCCCCTTCCTGGGCACAGAGCTTCTAAAACTCTTGTAACTTCCTACACGAAAGGGTGATAAGAACATCTAATATTTGGGCTTCTGATCTCGGGTTCCTGAAAGAGTTCTGGATTGATGAGGGCTGCCAAGGGAACCAACCATGTGATTAATGCACCTGTACTTTCAACCCCAAACCTTGATGGGGGTGGGGGAATGGAAGGGGCTGGAGATTGAGTTAATCACTAGTGGCCAAAGAGTCAATCAGTCACACTTAGGTAAGTGAGTCTCTATTAAAACTGTAACAAAAGGGGTTCTAAGAACTTCTGTGTTGGTGAACACACCAAGGTGCTGGAGGGCCTGGAGGCTTGGAGCCCCACCCCCACTCCTTGCCTTATGCTGCTCTTCCATTTAGCTGTATCTCAATTGCATTCTTTATTATAATAAACTGGTGAACTCAAGGGCCTTCCTCAGTTCTGTGAGCCACTCTAGCAAATTACTGAATCAGAATTACAGAAGCCCTAATCTATAGACAATTGGTCAGAAGTACAGGGATCTCATACTTGTGACTGCCTACTCCAATTGGGACAGTCTTGAGGGACTGAGCCCTTGACCTGTGGGGGCAACACTAATTTATGATAGTGTCAAAATTGAATTGTAGGATGCTTAGTTGATGTCTGCAGAAAAGTAGAGAATTGTTTGGTGTGGAAAACCCACATATTTGGTATCAGAAGTGTTATAAGTGTAGAGAAATGTCTTCCTTGATTAGCTTTTACACTTTTCCTACAGGAGCACTCACTATTCTCCTGTTTCCACCTATATTTTTAACAAGCTGATGATACTAAAATTGTAATGCATTCTTTCTAAAATTAAAATATATTTCCGCTGGCTTTTAGCATCTGGCATTGCTTATTTAGGAGAAAGGTTTTTATGGCTTTGCTTTTATTTCTTTTGCATTACAAAGATTTTTTGTAATTCTGTAATTACAAAATTCTGCTTCACTTTTTTCTACTTTAGTCGTTATGTTTTGGATCTATCATCTTGCTTTTAGTTTTTGTTGTTGGATGTATTATTTTAGACATTGGTATTAAGTGGATTTTCATACAGAGTATACCTCAAAGTAATCCTTATTAATATACACACAGAGAACAAATTCTTGCTCTCTCCTTTTTAATAAAAATGAGATTAGAGTGTGTGTATGCCACTGGCTTTTTTCCACACAAACATAGGTCATGAGTATTTTTCTAGGCCAACATTATGGATCCAACTCATTCATAAAAAAACTTCATAATATTTTATAGGGCTTATTACATATCCGGCCATTCTGTAGACATATAGCTGGGTTATAATCCATTTTTCCTCTGTTTACAACAAAGTTTCAATAAACGTCCTATGCATACTACTAACTGATTATTGCTGATAAAATCAAAAACAGATTTTCTTCTTGGATAAAATCATCTTTCCAAAATCCCCTCATTAGTTCTTTTTATTACTTGACTCTTCAGCGTTCTCTGGAAATGCAAATAAGATGAAACCCTGTTATCTCTGTTTTTCAGGCTTATATCACTTATTTCAAATGTGATTTTTTTTTGTGTGTGTGATGGTTTTGTTTTTAGTGACACTGGGGTTTGAACTCAGAGCTTTGCACTTACCAGGCAGGCACTTAACTACCTGCTCCAGTGCCCCCAGCCTTCAAATGTGATGTTTTTAAATAAAAGATTTAGTTGAGAGCTTCTTTTGCTATTCCTACTCCTTAATTTTTTTTAAGTATTTAACCTTAAACCTGAAAATTTAAGACACTCACTCAAATATTTCTACAGTTCCTCTCTTGTTCTTTGTTGGGCTAATTTTAGCTAGCTCTTTGAAATTTTCTATTGCTGAAGTTTTATTCTTCTAGGTAACTGTTTCCAGCATGCTTCCATGGTTCTGTAAATTGTTAATAATTAGTTTAACTTAAAAAAAAAGTATTAGGTATGATTTTGAAATAGGATATGGTTTAGAGAATTTTCTCAGGCGCATTATTCTGCGAACATTTTCATTGCTTTTTTTAAAATAATTTTTTATGAGGATATATTCATATACGGGGGAGGGGGAGTCATAGTGACGATTCTGATTCGAGTTATATTGTATATTAGTTACACTGCCCCATCATCTCACCCCCCTTTTCATTGCTTTTGAAGTTAGCATACCAAGGTGCTCTTGGAGAGAGTCTTTTTTAGAAAGCAATGAAACAGTACTGAAAAAGTTCCAAAGGATAAAGAATAAACTCAGGGTAGAATAAACTCAATTGTCCTGAAAAATGGAAGAATTGAGCTGTTCTAACTAAGACACTTTGCTCTAACAGTTGGCACATGTATCATGCTGTATCAACATAACTGCCCTTCAAAGACGAGAATATGTAAAATACTCTTTTCCAGTATGAGGATGCCTGAGTTATCTAAAAACTATTTTAGCTTCCACATATGTGGGAAACATCTGTTTAAATTTTTTTTAAATGTTGCATCATAGAAAATTTGTCCTGTACACTAATTTGCTGAGACTTGTTCCACAGACACAGTCAAATTTTGTAAAAGTTCCATACACAGTTGAAGAGAATGTAAGGGTGTATTGTATGCTATATGCAGATTGGTTATTCAAATTTTTCTCTATCTTTATGAAGTTTTTTCTTAATGTTAACAGAAGTGTGTTAAAGTCTGCCACTGTTTGACTTATATAATAAAATTAATTTTGAAATACTTGAGTTACCTGACCTTAAATAAACTAAGGCATCAAAGAAGACAGGGTTCAGTGGCTCACACCTGCAACCCCAGCTACACAGGAGGCAGAGATCAGGAGGATCTTGGTTGGAGGCCAGCCTGGGCAAAAAGTTTTTGAGATTATTTCAACAAAAAAGGTG